AAATTTTAGAATCATAAAGCTTTTTTACTGGATTAACTATTTTCAGCATTATCTCTGCTTATAAAATCTAGTTTGTACTGTTATTATGGTATTTAAGAACTTGATAATGAGCTGGACATGGTGGTTCTTGCTTGTAACTCCTCACTCAGAGAGGCAGAGACAGGCAGATCTCTGTGATTTCAAGGCCACCCTCTCCTCCCAAGTGAGTCCAAGATAGCTAAAGATACAGAGAGAAACACCATCTTGGAGGGGGAAAAAAAAAGAACTTGATGTTAGTGACTGACATTACAGACCATCTCAGACTTTTTAAAAGTGTCTGAGAATCAGTAAATATACAAATAAAAAGAATTTTCAATTTCTCCAGTGATGATCAGAGATAATAACTGAAAATATCTAAAATATCATGGAAATATTCATCTTCATAATGAGAAAACTCATTGAACTTCAAGTGGAATAAACTGAAGATATCCTCAAATAGACACATCAGGATGCAAAACACAAGCTTTGGAAGCAGCACAAAGAAAGTGACCCATTATGTAGAGAAGTTAATGAATAATATTATATATCAATAAGCCTTATTATAAGCTATAGTAGGCAGAAGGCAAAGAGAGAACATGCTGGAAAATGTTTGGACAGAGCATGTCAGCCAAGAATTCTAACAAGCATTATCTTCAAAATGATTGAGAAATAAAGCAGCCCTAGATAATGACTGAGAAAACATGTCACCTGCAAAGTTAGTTTACCAAAAATAGCATGATTAAAAAAATAGCATAATGCCGAGCCAGGAAACAAACATATTATGTACTTACTTATATGTGAATATTAGCTGTTAACTAAACACTAATCATGCTATAATCCACAAGCCCAGAGAGGCTAAGGAAGAAGGGGAGCTCAAAGGAGGATGCATAGAAGTCCCTGAGAAGGAGAAACAGAACAGATTTTGTAGTGGACTAGGGGCCGGTGGGCATGGGAACAGGAGTGATTGGGGTTGGGTGTGTGGAAGGGTTGAACAGAGAGAGCACTTGGAGAGACAACTGAAATTAGAGGGCATTTGGAAGGCGATATAAAAATCTAGTGCAGTGTAAACTCCCTGAAATCTATGTGAGCAACCCTAGGGAAGCCTCCTCATGGAGGACGCAAAGCCAGAACTGGCTTATGTGACCAAACAAGGCTCTGAGCAGTTGGACTGGGACATCTACCAAGCCACAGCACCGTTGACCTACAATCTGTCCTGCCTGCAAGCTGTGCTGGGATAAAGGTGGTGCAGAACTTGTGGGTGTGGCCAACCTATGATTTGTCCAAGTTGAAGCTCTCTAGAAATGAGAGAGACAGCCCAGGCATGACAATGCTTGGATGGCCAGGAACCAGGGGCAGGACAGCCCAGAGACACAGGATAGAACCAAATGTGACTGCCAAGAAGAGTCAGAGAAATAATTCCTAATGATATTCTGCTATACTCATAGATAGGTGCCTAATTAGTTGTTAGCAGAGGCAGAAACCAGCAATTGATGGTAGCAGATGCATAGACACACTAGGCAGACCCAGGGAAAACCTCACTGGGGGGGGAAGAGGAAGGACTGAAGGACCTATAGGGAAAGAGGACACCACAAGAACACAGCCCACAGAACCAAATAACCAGGACTCATAAGGGCTCACAGAGACTGAAATGACAAACCCCAACCCTGTGTGGGTCTGAGCTATGTCTTCTGTATCTGCTTTATGCTTGGGTAGCTTGGTATTCTTGTTGGACTCCCAACAGTGGGAATGGGGATGTCGCTGACTCTATGTTCATGTTTGGAACCTTTCCCTTCTGCTGGGTAGCCCTTGTCCAGCCTAATACAAGGGTTTGTGCCTACTTATTACACCTTGTTAGGCCAGGGATTGGTGGATATCCCTGGAAGGCTTGCCTTTTTATTTTTAATCTAATTTTATTTTATATTTTATTTTATTTTATAGAAGGAGTGGATCTGAGGGAGAAGGGTGGTATGGTGAGGAACTGGGAGTTGTGGAGGAAAAGGAAACTGCAGTTGGGATGTAATGTATAAGAGAATACAAAAGAGAAATAAAAAAGTATAAACTGATGGTTGTATGCTCATCCCTTAATAGGATATTTATACTGCTTCCTTTTGTAAGGCTCAAAGAGCATTTTCGAAGACAGGGGAAAAAGTGATGTAAGACGTGAAATAAAGGGAAAGTATGGTGAAACCGTCCTTGGGTCGTGACTCACTCGTTAGAATCATGATCCCTTGACAGCCTAGATTTTTCTGCACTTGGCCTGCATTAAACTATGAAGAGTCAGTCACGGATAAGGGAGTTGTTCACAGATCCTTGCCACTTCCTTGGTAACTTTTGGCTCTTGGTAGATGTTGGAAGACAAGGAGTTACCTACTGGTGAGCTGCTGAGCCTTCAATTGACAGTTCCAAAGCCACAGCCATGAGGATCGCAGTGTTTAAACTCAAGGGCCCATAAAACAAAGCCGCACAGAAGAGACTTGTACTCAGAACCTGAGTTGGACTGGGTTTGGAGGAATATGTGAGATGGTACAAGGCGAGGGGGATCACAACACATTGTGTAAGTGTACGTAACTGTCGAACAACAGACTGTATTTAGAACAATAGTTTTAAAGAAACTAATTTTGGATGAATAGTGTCTCCATGCTACAATACTTGCCTACTCTATTTAGAGCCCTACGTTCCATACCCAGCACCATCCAGGCCCCAAGGACAAGCAGCCATCCACACAAACTACATGTTAAAGATCCCTTTCCATGTGTAAATATGTTCCTTTCACGCATTACTTTACTAGAACTATTTTTGCTTTTTAGGTGTACCTTTAACTCTCTCGAAATAAAACATAAAATACTTAGAATGAAAACACATAAATGTATTCTGCCATAGAGTTATTATTTTGTTTCCTTATAAAATTTGGGAAAATATAGTTTCTAGTCATAGCCTCCCTAGGGACTAATGAATCAAGTAAATAGCATGACAGTAGCCTTGTGAAAGCAGTCTGAAAATAAATGAACTATAGAATAAATTTTAGAAGATGAATAGCATGCACACCAACAATTTAATCCCTGCACCATGCCATCTATTTAAATTTGATCTGCCAGGAGGCAAAAGAGATCCTAACACATGCTAGAAAGAAAGATATTCATGGGTTTGATGATTAATTTTATGTGTAATTTGACAGGGCTAAGGAATTCTCAGATGTATGGTGAAAAGTCCTTCCAGGTATATGCATTAGGATGTCCCTAAAAGGGACTGGCATCTGAATTAGAAGAATGTATAAGGAAAACATAGTCACCAAAGTTAAAAGATAAAATTCAATGCTCCTGAGCATTGAATATGTCTGCTCAGCACTGCAAAGACAGATAAGGGGTGAATTCTCTCTTTTCTGGTAGCTCTGATTTTTGTCTCCCTCCTTAATCTGGGGCATATGGTTTGTCATGCACGAAGGAAACAGATTCTCAAATATTCATGGACTAGAACTTAATAAACTTCCCCCACTACATTCACAGCACACACACACACACACACACACACACACACACACTCACACACACACACTCACACACACTCACAATTTTCAGATCTTTGGTCATGGACCAGCTCTGAAACATTTCTACCAACAGCTTCAGTTAGTTCTGTTTCTCAGGGAAGCCCCGAGTGACAGTAACGTGAAATTTTTATTTATGTAAAAGAAGACCCTGTGTATTTATGTACACTAGTAATATTACTATTGAAAGAAAAAACATGGTTGAGCGTGGTGACGCACCCCTGTAATCCCAGCACTCGGGGAGGCAGACGCAGGTGGCTCTCTGTGAGTTTGAGGCCAGCCTGGTCTACAAAGTGAGTCTAGGACAGCTAAAGCTACACAGAGAAACCCTGTCTTAAAAAAACAAAACAAAGCAGAGCAAAACAAAATGCTTGAAAGAAGAAAAAAAAAACATGCAATATATCTAGTGACAAATACATTTTTAACTGAAAGTTAATAGCTGCTGTTAAGTGATCTTTAACTTCCAGGGAGGTGTATTTGAATGCCACGGAGGGTAAGAAAACCAGCACATACCATTCCAAAGGCATACCTTTTAAAAAGAGACACATGAATTTGGATTAGCCTTCTGCTTTGAATAAGATTTTAGCAAGCATAGGTTGCACATTCTCCACGAAACTCAGAAATACTCAAAATTTGGGATCCAAGCATTCTGTCCCTTTGAGATAATTTAAGAAAAAGTTGTACCTGTTTTACTGTTCAGAAATGTCTCCTTTTTCATTATTTCACCAGTGTATGAAATTCTCTAGTTTTAATGTATGGAGGACCCCTGAAAATCTTACTGTGTTATTGCTTTGTCATGATTCATTTGAGCTTATACCAAGTTGCATGTCTTAATTTGTGATGGCATCATTATTCCTTTATTATTACTAGCCTTAAAGTTCCAATGGTAAAATTACATATTGCAAATTATAGGTATGTATGTATATGTGTAAGCACATCTGTGTTCATGTGTGTATGTGCATGCACATACATGCATGTGCTTTTACATGTGAGTGTGCATGTGTACATGTATATTCATGTGTACATTCTCATATGTGTATGCATGTGTATGTGCATGTGTGGGTCTTTGTACATTAACCATTAAACATATTTAACCTCATTCAAATTCATGAAAGGAACACCATAAATATAGCATAAAACATCCATGTAAAATCAGGGCTGCTACATTTAACACTGCCTTGTGAATTATCAAAACTAGTAATTTAAAACAAGACTTTTAAAACATGGCTAATATAATTTGAAAGTAGCAAAACTGAATCAGAACAATGTAAGGAGGCATCTCTCTTTCTGCATTACAGTCTATAATTTATCTTGTGTATCTCCTGCCCCTATTACATACATATCCACAGTCACATGTATGTCCCAGTTTATCACCTAAAACACCTGACCTTTTTAAAGCTCCAACTGATTAAATGGCACTTCAGTTAAATAACATTTATGCATTTACCAAGTATATCCTTGTCTTCGATAATTGCCATATTCACTTCTTGTCCAGTAATAATTGTGCATGAGAAGGGATCTTGAAGAAGAATGCTGATCTCACCAAAGGATTCCTTCTCCTTAAGTCTACCCATATAAACAAGTTTCTTAACTTTTTGCTGCAAAAGGTATGGACAAAAGAGGCTTCATGGAATTATTCACATAATCATTATTATCAGAAACTCAGTTATTCATAAAGCATTTAGCTGAAATCATTTGGCAATACAATTAATTGCAATCACAGAAAACACTTACATTTTTATTTTATTCATTTTATATTAAAGCAGTAATACACTCAAGAACATTCCAGTGTGCACAGACAGCTGGCGACGCTGTCATTTAGTTATACATATATTGCACTATTTTAAACTTTGTTTATTCAGAGTAGATATGAGAGTGTTGATGATTGATGATGAAAATGAAGACGATGAAGAAGATGATGATGAAGACATGCCTGTAGAGGAGTGAGGAAAACTTAGTATTCATTCTTTCCTTTATCAGGCTCAATGGTAAGTGCCTTTATGAGCTGGTCCACCTAACTCCCATGTATTGCAATTTTGAATAGTTTAAGATGTCTGAGAGATGTTGACTAGTTCAAGTTTTCAAAGCCCCTAGAATATTACTTTTTGTGGCAAGAGTGAAACTTAACCATATTCTGTGAACTACCAATTGTGATAGACTTCCAAGTTCAGTTGGAAGATACAGATATTGGAGTAACTGCAATGATAAAAATAACTGTAATTAACTATTGGGTTCACTAAGATAGAAATTCTCTCTTGTCTTTGTTCTTTTATTGTGTGTGCATGTTTCCTGGAAGTTAATCCCAGATCTTTGTACATATTACAAGTGTTCTTTCATTAAGCCGTATCTCCAAAGATTATGTTTTCTTAGTAAAAATTGCGATTTTAATTCAATAATCGAATAATTTGTTTTAAATCAGGCATCTTGTGGGGAAGACTTTACAACAGTTTCAGTACAGGTGGTTCTGAAGAGGATGAAGATAACGTTTCTGGGAGACTTAATCAGTATTAAAACTAAGATGATCGGGTAGCAGTAAGCAATGAAAATCAAGAAGAGGCCTTTGACAGGCACTTGGACAAGGAGGATGTCATTAGAAGTGTGTTAAAGTCAAGTCAACAGCTTAAACGTTTGCCATTTCTGCAAATAGAAAATTTTTACCTTGAATATTATGAAAAAGTCAGAGCATAAATCAGTTTCTATATTTAATTAAATTCTATTAAATACTATTAGAGGAATAATCATTCATTCTTCTTCCTTTACTCTGACTGCTTTTGGCCTGGTTACTGAAAGTGAAAGGAGTAGATTGTGCTCTTCAGGGTTGATGTTTGCACACCTCCTATTAAGATTCAAACAATCCCACTTACCGTTGGTCTTCTTTCACTCTGTGTGGCAGTTCATTCTCTAAGTCTATGTTTCCATTCAGTCATCAATGGACATTTAAATTGCGTCTAGTTCAGGGACTGTGAGGATTAGTGTGAGTCTCTGTGTAGACACATTTCTTTTCCTTCCTCACTAAAAATAGCTACAGGGAAAGGTAGGTGCTATGGTAAAGTTCCTATAACCAGGTATGGTAGGCTAGGGTCAGACAGCAGGGGAGGACCACCTCCGCCCCATCAGGGGACTAGGAAAGGGGCATTGGGGAGAAGAGGGAGGGAGGGTGGGACAGGGAGGTGGTGAGGGAGGGGGCTACAGCTGGGATACAAAATGAACAAAGTATAGTAAGTAGCAAAATAAAAAAAAATTAAAAGTAAAGAGACCATTTAAGGCAAGAAAAAAGTTCATTTAACCCTTTCTGTTCTGTTGTGGTAGTATCTTGCTGTGGTTATGAATTCCATTTCTCTGACAAAGAACATGAAGTACCTTCCATTAGGATTATTGGTCATTTTGCAGCTTATATGTCAACATATCTTATTCCTATTCCATATGTTTCATTTCTGAATCTTACAGCTAATTATGAAAATAAACCCAGTAAAAGTTCCCCAAATAATTCAACTGTTAAATATAGATTCTCAAACAAAAGAAGATGATGTTCAATATGCATAAGGAATGTTATCTATCATCTTTGTTCATTAGAGTAGTTAATTAATAAAGTAAGCAAATAAGTTGAAACTCACCACTTTGTTTGCTTGTAGATCCATAAGTCCCACAATATTTCTATAAATGTTGCAGTATCCAGAAATAATAAAACCCACAAATGAAATGACAGTTCCACTTTCAACTAATACTGAAAATAAGAGAGAAAGAGAGAGACTTTACGCTTCTGGCATAAAATAATTTTGTATATTTTGACAAGAAAAATTATCCTACTTGACTCGATAACTCTTTATGGTCACTTTCTGAATAGATGCTACTTTATAGAAATTACTTCTCCCTCCAAAAAAAGAGAAACTCATTTTGCAGAATTTTGGCTTACCATTTGAAATAGAGTTACAGTTCCACTATTCTATTAAATACCAAATTTCCCTAGTGTAGATACTCATGTTCAAGGACATGGATAATGTAGTAGAACTGAAATCGAGTTTGCTAGGAAAGAACCAAAATATTAGATACTGGAAAAGTCCTTTTCTATTTATATATCATCAGAAACTTTTTTATTTACCATTTTATATGCACTTGATTTTTTTAAGTAAAGCTGCAAAAAGAAAGTTTGCTTTGTTGTTGGGTAATTAGAACAAGAATCAATATAAGACAGGATTGGGTCCTTTCCAAGTAATTCAGCAATCCAGCAGAAGTATGGCTGCCTCTCATTTGTGACAGGGAGCCTTTGCTTGCTCACCCATTCTTAGGAATGCCTTGAGAAGTAGCTGTGGTACAGCCCAGCCTATGTGTATGTATCTGCAATGTAAGGACGCTTTAGAACAAGATAATGTGTCTGCCGACTGCGTCACCTCTCCCTCTCTTCTCCCGTATGTTAGATAGGACCATATAAAACGTTCTCACTAATGGAATTTAAGAAGAAATAATGTTTGTTCTTTCAAGAAAAGTGATTTTTAAGAAGGAAAAAAAAGGAAACTATAAATATGTACTACAATAGAAATAAACCCTGGAGGGGCTTTGTCAGGAAGGTAGTTGTATACTTGTATTTTCTGGTACAGGAGATGAGGAGGAGTCTTTGGAAGCACCTACCTGCACCATTTGATGAATTCTATGGTAAAAATACTTCTAGGTGCTGGAGAGATGCCTCAGTATTTAGAGAGTTTTGGTTATTTTTACCCCTATCAGGTGGCTCTCAACCATCTTTAACTCCGGTTCCTGGGAAGTGTAACATATCTGACTGTCTTGAGCTCCTGTGCTAAACTGTTTGTACACACACAGGTCCACACACAGCAGGTTTAAAGTAAATCTTTAAAAATTGTTTCTAATGTGTCTAATTTCAAACTGTCATAGAGTTTGAATAGTGAGCCCCACTTTTTAACAATGAGCTCTCCAGACTCCATATCATCATCTGGAACCAGCAACTTTCTGAATACATTATTGGTTCTAAGTAAAGGCTCTCAGGGCATGCTGGCCTGAGGTGAAGCCTTCTCAGCTAGTTCCTATGTATTCTTATGCAATTCACATAACCTCCCCAAGCTGTAGCTTTTGGCCTTCTTCCTTGAAGCCAGATGAGTGAGGTGAGACAGCAGAAAGACTGTTGGATTTTTCTTTTAATTTTTTTTTCTGAAGGTCTTGAAATGAATCACTTAAAAAGATCATAGGTAATACAGAGGGACCAGATCAACGTGATAGCATTAGAGAGTTTTAAACGAGCAATCATGATACATGAGGGTATTACTTGCCAATTATTTATTGCTTATTTTGTTGATCTATGCAAAACGTGATTTTTGCTTATGTATTTGTATCCTTTTCTCTTTCTAAATTTTTCTCATTAATCAAATTTATTCACTTTGTATCCACGCTGTAGCCCCCTTCCTCATCCCCTTCCAACCCCACACTCTCTTCCTCTTCTCCTCCTTTATCCCTACCCTAGTCCACTGATAGGGGAGGTCCTCCTCCCCTTCCACCTGACCCTAGCCTACCAGGTCTCATCAGGACTGGCTTAATTACCTTCCTCTGTGGCTTGGTAAGGCTGTTCCCCCCTTAGAGGGAAGTGATCATAGAGCCAGTCAATAAATTCATTTCAGAGACAGCCCCATTCCCCTAAATAGGAGCCCCACTTGGACACTGATTAAAAAAAATGACACACAGAGCTAAACAGAGAATTCTCAATGGATGAATATCAAATGGCAGAGAAACACTTAAAGAAACACCCAAAGTTCTTAGTTATCAGGGAAATGCAAATTAAAACAACCCTGAGATTTCACTTTATACCCATCAAACTGGCTAAGATCAAAAATTCAAGTGACAATACATGCTGGAGAGGATGTGGAGAAAGGGGAACCCTCCTCCACTGCTGGTGGGAATTCAAACTTGGACAACCACTTTGGAAATTAATCTGGTGCTTTCTCAGACAATTAGGAATAGTGCTATCTCAAGATCCAGCTCTACCACTCGTAGGCATATATCCAAAAGATGCTCAAGTATACAACAAGGACATTTGCTCAACCATGTTCACAGCAGCTTTATTCGTAATAGTCAGAATCTGGAAACAACCCAGATGTTCCTCAAAGAAGTAATGGATACAGAAATGTGGTACATTTACACAATGGAATACTACTCAGCAATTAAAAACAAGGAAATCATGAAATTTTCAGGCAAATGGATAGAACTAGAAAAGATCATCCTGAGTGAGGTAATCCCAGAAGATAAAGACACACATGGTATATACTAATATATGGTGTACTAAAATTTGTACACCTAAAGAAGCTAAGCAAGTAGGAGGACTCTGGGGAAGATGATCAATCCTCACTCAGAAAGGCAAATGGGATAGACATCAGAAGAGAGCAAAAACATGGAACAGGACAGGAGCCTATCACAGGGGCCTTTGAAAGAGCCTACTGATTGAGGTATCAAAGTAGAGGCTAAGATTCATAGCCACACTTTAGGCGGAGTGCAGGAAATCTTATGAAAGAAGGGGGAGATAGAAAGACCTGGAAGGGAGAGGAGCTCCACAAGGAGAGCAACAGAACCTAACGATCTGGGCCCAGGGATCTTTTATGAGACTGATAGTCCAACCAAGGACCATGCATGGAAATAACCTAGAACCTCTGCTCAGATGTAATTCATGGTGGCTAAGTGTAAGAGTTTTTCAAACCCAGAGGTTTCTTTGAAGTTTTTCTTCATGATTTCCTTTTTCAGATATTCCCATCTTTTTGTTTTGTGTATTTGTGCTATTTTTAGGGACAGGCATTCAGAGTTCTAATACACTGCACTCTGTCTGATACTGCTGCTCTCATTACATTGGCACTGGAAAATCTGGTCTTTGTAGAATTTCACGGTTAATTTTCCTCTTTCCTTTTTAAGTTTGAGTGTTGCTTTGTAATATGAATATTAATTTTAATATTAATTTCCCCTGTGATTGATGCTTTCTTTAGTAAATATGAAACGCACTTAGGTATGTCTGCTACAAAGTAAATACTGTACATGAATCTGTTATTATTACTGTAAATTTTGAACCTTGGGCTTTCTAGATATTAAAATGTGTCTAGAATCTTAATTTGAAATTCACCGAAGAATAAATATGATCATAACCAAGAGTCAGTATAAATCCAAAATTGTAGGCATATACCACGGATACTACAAAGCCATAAAGGATACAAAATGCTTTCTCTGAGGCATTAAATTATAACAAAGTAATTTGGACAAGGACTCTTATAAGATGTAAATGTTCTTATAAGATTGGGACTATTAGTTGATTAGACCAGTTATAACCTTTGTATTCATTTCTAATTCTGTTAGTTTTAAAACTCCTTTTAAAGTCAATGTTGAGCTTTAATTTTTTATTGTTTTATTCTCTTTTAACATTGTATCATTTGTTTCCTATTTCAAATCTAATAGACTATACTGGCTCTCTAACTGCTCTTAAATATTTATTTTCAGTTATATGTGCTTTTATTTTTTCCTAATATCCTATTCTAAAACAGCTTTTCATTTTGACAACTCTGATCTTTTCTTGTAGTGACAATTTTCTTCTTCACTGACCTGAACTTTGTCCTTATATTTTCTTTATAGACTTACATTTTACTTTTTATTTGCAAATACATAGTTAAGTCATTTTTCAGGTTTTTTTTTTTACTTTCAGATTATTGTACATAACACAATTTCACTATTTTATATATATGTTCAGGTATATAACACACTACATTATATAACTCCAGTTATATCCAATAAATTATAAAGCATGATTAATTTGGTGGAGTTTTTTCTTAATTTTTCTTAGAGATGGGCACAATTCCAAGCATTTAGGCACTGTACTGTCTGTCTTGATTATTAACATTACGAGCTATGTAATCACTATGGAAATGCAGCTCTGTATGTGTCTATAAGGGGATTTCTTGACTGGGTTAACTGAGGTGGAAAGACACATCCTAAATATGTTCAGCATCATTCCACGGGCTGGGGTTCTACACTGAGTAAAAGGAGACAGAAGCTGAGCGCTAATAGTCATTGCTGTCTGTTTTCTGATCCGTGATGGAATGTGAGCAGCCGTCTCAAATTATAAGCTGTTACTGCCACAATTTCTATGGAATGATAGGCTATGCCTTCAAATAACCCCTTCTTCCTTAACTTTCTTTTGTGAGGTATTTTGTTGCAACAAGACATGTAACAAATGCAGGATTGTTCTTCTGCTACCCTTTAAAAGATGCATTTTTTGTTTTTCTCATAGTATTGATGATTATCTATATTATTAAAATATCCCTAAAAGAGAGGTTTAAAAAAAGTCTGCTAAATATAGAGACCTCTCTATATCTGATAGCTTTAATCTTAACATTTTATTTTTTTTATTTTTACTTCTACTCATAATTTATATAACCTAATTAATTTATCAGCTTCTGAACTATAAAGATCATGACATTTCTCTGTAAAGCCTTTGAGTTGTTCATATACTCTGAGATTGGAAGAGCTTTTCACCACTCAGCTATCTCTTCAGACCACAATGCATCACACTTAACTATCTTTCTTAACTGCAAGGCTGTATGTCAATTCCATAAAATCTACTTTAGTTGGTTTTATTTTGTTTGTTTATTTATTAAAATGTTTTGAAACAATGTCTTTCTGTGTAGCTGTGGTGAGTCTGGAATTCATTCAAATGATGATGAAGCTGTTCTTGGCTTCATCATCATT